TGTATGTGGTCTATGGTACTGAAGCCTTTTTCGGAAACCGGCTTGTTCGGGAGGCTGGAAGTCGTCGAGTCTGCGTGCGAGACGATTCGTAATGACTCTCGAAAACAGCACGTAGACGCGGCTCAGAAGGGAAATCGGTCTGTAGTTCTTCAAGAGAGCGTTGTCGCCTTTCTTAAAGAACAAGACCACCGCACTTCTGCTCCACGCCTCTGGAGTAGTGCCACCATGGAGGACGGAATTGAAGAGCTTCTGAAGGACTTCAAGTACCGGTGTTCCACCCGCTTTCAGAAGCTCCGCTGTAATTCCATCCTCGCCTGGGGCCCTGCCGTTTTTAAGGTGCTGGAGAGCCATTCTAATCTCGCTTAGACTGACGTCCGGGATATCATCGGAATAGTGTCGGATAAGACTTGCTCTTGGATCGTTACTCACACTTGCGTGTGGCTCCAACGATGATGTGTACAGCTGCCCATAGAACCTCTCAATCTCACTCAAAATCTCAGGTGTCCCGGAAACGATGCTGCCACACTCAGTCTGCAGCTTTGAAAGTTGGCTCTTACTGGCAGACAGATCTCTGGCAAAGACTTTGGAGCCCTGGTTCCGCTCGATCGCTTCTTTAATACGAGCAGTATTAAAGTTGCGTAAGTCTTGCCGCATGCATTTGGAGATCTGTCTGTTCAGTTGCCTGTATGCTGTCAAATCTGTTGACGATTGCAGCCTCATCTCCCGTCTAACAGCCATGAGATTAAGAGTGTGATCGGAGAGTTTTTGTGTTCTTCTGCGGCGGGTCTTGCAGAACTTAGCTCCGACCGCATGGACAGTTTCCACGAGCTTGTCATTCATATCGTCCACTGCATTGCAATCTTGTAGGCACTGAAAGCGGTTGTGTAACTCGAGCTGAAAGTTTTCGGGATTTTGGATCAGAGCACGAGGGGGACGGAGCGTTGACTTCATTAGACGAGACCTCTTCAACTTAACGTTTAGGTTCAGTGTGCCTCTAACCATTCGGTGATCGCTGCCAGTTTTCACCCTTGCGATCACTGAGACATCACTGAACAGTTGGCGTCTGGTCGTCATAATGAAGTCAATCTCATTTTTTGTCGAACCGTCGGGGCTCGACCAGGTCCACTTCCTGTGGGGCCACTTCTGGAAGAAAGAGTTCATCATAAAGAGTCCCTCTTTCTCCATAAAGTCGGCCAGCTGCTGGCCCCTTCGGTTCCGTTGCCCTACTCCAAATTTCCCTAACTTCAGCTCACCGTGTTCTCTTGTGCCTAGTTTTGCGTTGAAGTCTCCCATCAACACCGTGTAGTGGGTTTCGGAGGAATGTATGGCTTTGGAAATATCCTCATACATTTCCTCCACCTCCTCATCGAAATGTGCCGACGTTGGTGCGTAAACCTGTATGACCTTCAGCGAATACCGTTTGGTGATTCTGAGTATCAGGTACGCGACCCTCGTCGACACACTCTCAATCTGTACAACGTTGTTGACGAGAGACTTGTGGACGATAAATCCGACACCTCCTTGGGACAGATGGTCGCCCTCCCGGTGATAGAACAAGTTGCCGGATTCGAGAATCACCGTGTCCTCCCCCTCTCTTCGGACCTCGGATAATCCTATAATACTCCAGCGCAACTTGTCTATCTCTTCTTCCAGCTCCAGGATCTTCTCGTCAGTCCTCAGTGTGCGTGCGTTAAATGTTGCCAGGTCGAGTCGTCGTAGGTGGCAACCGAACCTCCACCGGAGATTCTTAGCACCCCCTGCCCCGCCGTTACCATGGTCGCCACCGTAGCCAGGAATAGCGGGGCCGCCGGGGACTGGGGGCCGTCTATTTGTGTAATTGTTCATGGGGGGTATATTGCCATAGTTGCCACGCTTGGCGAGCGGGTTGGCAACCGCAGTTTTTTTTGTCGTACAGTTGCTGTTATCAGGAAGATGCTGCTGCCCATCTCCTGCCTGTCTCCCTCTGTCGCCTCTTACGACACCCACGGGAAGATATGGGGTAGTGGATATTCTTATTCTCGACTCACCACAGATTTATAAGGCAGTCTCCTGGCAGTTGCTCCGGCACATCGTTCTCACCGGCATCACTTGCCAGTGCGTAGTACGGCATGCATTACACATCGGCATGTCATTCGCACCGGTGTCACTTGCCCTTACGCACACAGCATCCATTCCCCTCCGGTCTGAGCAGGGGGCTGATGTGGCGGTGCTGTCGTCGCGCCACAAGCGAAACACACCGAAGCCTAAATCACGCTATCAAAGTTCCGAATCATAAACAGTATATATAGAACGGCTCCGAACTATCACATGGAGTGTTGGCCGCTCCCCGGGCAGAACACGTTGCCCGGCGGGAGATCTCCCCTTTTCCTTCCACCGCCACACATGGCTCTACTACGTAAAATATAGACCACAATTATAGAATAGAATTGAACGCAACAGAATCGCGTAACTTACATAAAAAATACATACAGTCGAACTATTAACCTCCTGCTTTCGGCGATGTCAGCTAAAATGTTACATAGAATATAATAGATAAGAGTGGAACAGAGTTGAATTAATTAGAGTAGAATAGAAAATAACAGGATATATATAATAGGATACGTGGTAAAGATAGATGGACTGTGCGCTCGTTTGTCACCCTTATTCTGTAAAAACGTATAGGATAGGATAGGAAGAATAGTATAGAACAAAATAGGACAGGATAGAATATAATATAGAACAAAATAGGACAGGATAGAATAGTATATAATGGAAAGGAGAGGGTGGGATAGAATAGAATGGAGTAATATTTATTCAATATAGATTGTAAGTAATTCTTATTGACAGACATTTACTTTACCATTAGAAAAACCATAACGAATATTACATACGATTATAACGAATATTGCATGAATCGTACTGTCATAATAATAATCTACACATCGGAACCCACGTGTCGGAACCCGATCATATTCAAGTTCCAATACACACTTAGCAAAATGTTATGACGATTTAGGAAGCGTACAATACGTAAATTCTAAATTTAAGCTGTTTTTTAACGCGATAGAATAAGTTTGCACTTAAATTTGGTCTATTGTATAGAAAATGAATTGAACTTTTGCCCCCAGAACCGGCGGCGATAATTATTGTATAATATTTAGTTATCTTGACGCATTTTTCGGGTTGAAAGTAATCACTTCGTTTTAGTTTCTGTATAAGCTCAGGCAAGTTAACGACTACATTAATAAGTAAGTAAAATTTATTAAGGATAAGTAAGTTAATTAGTTCGCAATTAAAAGAAAATAGACTAACTTGTTAGGAATCCTTAACAATAGGTGATGTTTTGGTAATACATAGTTGTAAGACAGAATTTTACATACTAGAGCGGTAAACGAGGTATCAGTGACGGATTATAAAAAGATATTCCTATATCACGATCGCTGTTTTAAACTTTGCCTAGAGTAACTCAAATAATTATTGATATCAATATTTTTGAAATTTCCTTTATTTATCCTAGAGCATTGGTTTTTAAAAAAAGTTGAAAAAAGTGGCCTACTCTCCAATTGTAATTGTACTCCTGTCTTATGGTTAGTGCTACTAACAACATCATACAAAGAAGGTCGAAGGTACTGTCACTCCTGTTGACTTTATATCAGTCAGTCATGTTGACTCATAGCCTGTAAGTATAGTTTACTGGCTTGTTACCCTTTAAATTGGAATACAGAATGATATTGCGCCTTGGCAACAGAAACAGATAAAAAGACGGAAGATCATAACTCAAACTGACTCCTAGACAGGTGATTCAGTAGTAGGCAATCGCACAGAATCACATGTAATAGACACTAACGGTGTTTATTTTCAAGTATTAAGCTTTATTATTTTAATTTTTTTAGTTGTTACCTTTTTAATTTTTTATATTAATTTTTTGCTTATTACAATTTAGTTTTATCTTGAAATTTATAACTTGTAAGGTTAGGAATTCAATGTCAAGGACATTATAAATTTTCTTTTACTATGGTTTAACTTCTATGAAGCTTAGCCACAGAGTACCTTATTAATATTGAGGATGTTTGACACCTGTTTGGATCATAGTTATCCGTTCCGAAGCGAGGCTTTTTGACAGCAATGAATGTTTTCCAAATAATATTCATCATCAATCTGTAAATAGTCTATAAGAAAAAAGGCATACAAGGTTTGAAATTGTACACTCATGATAAGTTTTTGATATGTTGTACCGATATCTTTACTGCCTATGCATAGAACTGAATATCTTTTTCGTAGAATACGGGTGACAAATGAGCACATAATCCACCTGATTTTAAATGGATGATTTGGAATATAGGCATCTGTGTACGTTGTCAACTTCGTGAATTTTTTTATTTTTGATAAAGAAAAAAAACACCGTCCCACTAAATTCCGCATCCCTTCGCTGTATGTAGTTTTTATAATTATGAAAAAGCAAAAACTGTGCTTTACTTCCCTACCTAGTTTGAAGAGTATCTCCCACCCACCATCCCTCCCACTACCGCTGAACCTAACACCAGTACCATAACATAACTGCCCTCAGCACTATTGCACTAGGAAAGACACACCGCCGTAGATAATACGACACGTGTTTCGCCTCTAAACGAGCCATCAACGGAGGAAATAGACTTTGCAATGGCTATCCGTTAAAGTTTATAATCAGTTACCAGTTTTGATATGTTTATTCTGAAAATTACCAAACAATTTTTTTCTGTAAGCTTTAAAGTAAATGTCAAAGTTAAAACTTTCATTCAATGCAGCAAAAACATTAACAGCAATATATGAACCTTCTCAGACAAGAACCGGCAAAAAACACTGGGGTCTTATTTTAATACCGTGTTACAATTTTATTTACAATAACTTATAATACCACACCAAGGGTTAATAAAAATCTTTGAAGTGTCTTAACAAAAAAATAACAACAGTGGCCAGAAGAGTTTCAAATGCAGAGCAAGAGTTATTTCAGACTTTTTTGTTTTGTCAATATGTAAATAAAAATGTTTGTGCAATTATATTTATCATACTTTATATTAAAAATTAAAATTTCTTTAAAGCAATGGATCCCGTTTTTGCCATGGATAAAGAACGCTATCGCGCCGGGGGACTCACCTATACAGAAATTCTATGAAGGCAGTGTTGTATTCATAACTGGAGGTTCCGGCTTTCTTGGGAAGCTCCTTATCGAGAAACTTCTAAGGTACCTACGTACTACCTACGTAATATAGTAAAATGCTGAAAGTAAATAAGTAAACAATGATAAAACCTCAGCTAATGCTTACGCTTTGAATGTTTACATCATTGTTACGACATTAACAATGATGTAAACTAAAAAAATACAATAGTATTTTTTTAAGTTTAAGTTAAATTGAGCCTGGATATATTTAAAGTGACTAAGTTAGACATCAAATCATAATATAAATCCTAAGTAAAATGGGCCAGCTTTCACCAGAACTGAATTGTTACCAGCTTATCAAGAAGAAAAAGAAATCATCATTACATCTCAATAGGTTTTTATACAAGTGTGATGCGCAACGAGCATACAGTCCAACTGATTGTCAAGTCAGACACAAGTAATGGTATACTTTTAATACACCTGAATTAAGTGTACACATGGCAAGGTGCATTTAAAAGTAAAGTATAGTCCTCACACTAGTAATAGAGCCACGCGGCAGCTTCTGCTGATGCGCGGATGGGTCGGCTCGAACCAGTGAAGTACCACGACCTCACAGAATACCAGCGTGAAGTAGAAGTTGTGCTTCTGCTTTTCGCCAGGTCTCTGTTACTGTTGCTACCTGCGTGAAATAATTATCTACAATCGCGACACGGCCCGGGCCGAATACGCAGTCGGGGCTAGCGCGATGTAGGCGATTGAATGTTAGTTTTTTTAAAGCTGTTTACGTAAATAGTTTTTTATAAATACTTGTTGAAATAGTTTTTGTTTAGTGTTAAGTATATTTAATGATAGGAAAAATTAGTTGAAAAAGTTTTCAATTATTCAGGAAAAACGTCGTTCCTACTATAAAGTACGTGAGGGGTAATATGGTCGCGAGCTTTCCCGCCGTATAAAATCAAAACTAGGAAGAAAGAGACAAAAACACAATGTGGATACTATAACTAATATATTAAGAAAAATAGCAAATAAGCTTTAGCAAACATTAGGAACACTTCGAAAAATTAATTTAAAAAACTAACTACACTACACCATACTAAAATTGACTAAAATATTTACTATAATGTTAATATAATATAAATTCGATAAAGAATTGCCCTTTTGACCCTTTATTATTTGATTGACTGATGTAGAGCTATAGTATCATATAAGCAAAGTGCAAACAAAGCTGTAGTTTTTGAGTTAGGTATAAGAAAGTGACCAAATTAACCAGATGACTCAAACACAACAAAAGGTTTCAGATATATATTATTCTCCAAGTTACCGAAGGATTTTAGTGGGAAGCAATGAATGAAATTTATTTAATATTTTATTTGTTACATAGGTACTTATAGTAAAAAAGAATGAAGTAATAATTTAACTATAGATATAATACCTAAGTACTTTATTGAAAAACTTGAAGTTTGCTTCACTATCAAAGCATCTACTTAAATATCTGTACTTGTCTTTTGTAATTAAAATATTTTAAATTATAATAACACAGAACACTGAAATTAAAACTTTGTTTACTAACAAAAATTTTAATTAAGTAGAATACGATTACATTTCTGTTAGGAATCGTATTTCAGGTTCATTTGTTGTTTACATTATCTACCTATTTCTTCCTACCAAGCATCGTGACGTAGAAAGGGGAGAAAATATGCAAAGTAATACGGATCTCGCGCGCGGATTAGAGTTTTATTTAGCTTGCTTGCGCGATTTATCTAATTAATAATAATTATGTCGTATGTATGTTAAACGTAGGCAAGCAGTCAACATCAAAGGAGTGCAACTTCTGTGTGTAGTACTATTCTTTATTCTGTGGTTTCGCCTGGTTAGTGCCGGTGGCCGGATGCCCCTCCCCCTGTCCATAACATTTAAAAATAAAAGACTACCACAGGAGGGTGCCAGCACTCCTGATAATGGAGAATATCTCACTGAGCATCCACACCCAAGCTACCCTCTTCTTCCTGAGCGTGGGTGCTTAGGTTGCCCCGCGTATTCTGAGGGGAGGCAAATCCCGCTCACTACTGACAACTGAAACCAGAACGATAAAACATTGGCAACCCTATCATGCTAGCCGTGGACTTCTACATCTCAGGGGACTTTATGCCGTCCACTACCACCTGGAAACGGCGACGCTGACCTTGCTCTTCGTTGACCGAGACACAGGTATATTTTCCGACTGATACCTGCTTGTCATATCCGGGGTACAAATTAAAACACTTCTTTGTGGCGAGGTTTAGAGTTTGAGTATACACGGCGTATATGATCTTATGGCAGGGCGGGCGTGACGTATGTCAAAGATGATATCTGTTCATCCTTTGATAGCGACGACCGTCCCCGCGTCTACGGGTGCTCCTAAAGGTCTCATAGTGGAAATGCCGTCATAGACCAACTCATCGACCACATCCAAATAGGTACAGATTCCATGCTGTAACAGATCCCATCCGCAAAGATCCTGATATTTGGCGATTTTAACGCCCACCACGCGGAATGGCTCAGTTGACGTTTAACCAATCATGTGGGGAGATCATTTTATGACTTTGCCTTGGCATATGGTCTGACACAATTTGTTACTTCGTCTACGCAGATTCCCGACGCGGAAAGATCATGCACCTTTCCTGTTGGACCTCCTGCTGACCTCTCATCCGGACGGATATCAGGTTTCTATCGACGTCTCTCTTTGGACCATTGCCTGATCCGGAGTGTGGTGCCTCTCACGCTACTTTTGCGGTTGCGTTCTGCACGCTGCCGCCGTGTTTAGCATTACCGCCGTGGACGGCGGATTAGCACGAAATGCGGTCTTTCTATGCTTCTTGCTGATTCTGTCACTGATGTGGTGTTTTAGTGAATGAAACTATTTATTCCATCATCTGTAGTTCCCATCGGAGGTGGATCTCAGCCTTGGTTCGTCACTCCTGTAAGACTGCATTACGCAACAAGCAGGAGTGTTATAAGACCCGGCTGACGATTTGGCGGCTCGAGATGTAAACGCCAGCATCCTTAAAAAGAAGTATAACTATGCCTTCAGATCTTTTAAAAGAGTTATTGCCAGGGCAAATTATGACCACATTGGTAGAATTGACGAGAAATAAGTTCGCCTTCCTTCTGGAACCCGTGCATTCTGGTCACTCGTCGTGGATGTCCAAGGGAATTTTTGTAAGCCATCACTCTGATCTCTGTACAGGGAGGACGACTCACTGGTCTACGCCGTAATAGAGAAGCATGACCTTTTAGGCTCTATTTTTGCGTCCAACTCGACTCTTGATGATGATGGGAACACAACACCGGCCAATCCGCGGTGTGAGTACTCTATCCCTGATGTGCGACACATACAGAGCTCAGTATGCAAAGCACTCTTCTCCTTGGATATCTACAAGTTGAGTGGGTCTGACGAGATCCCCCAATTGTGTTGGGGACGTTCCAGAGTTGGCATCAGTTTTAACGCATCTTTTCCGGTACTCCTACTCCCTAGGCGTGTTCCGAATTTATGAAAGACAACTTTCATGCACCCGATCACTAAAAAAGGTAACCGCTCTCACCCGTCTAACTACAGACCTATCATCTTCACCTTCTTGTTCTCAAAATTGAAAATAATGGATCATTAACTTATGGAAAATTAACTGCCAGCTTATGCTGCGCCTTGAGGAGCACCATCTGATTAGTAACTGCCAGTACGGTTTCACTCAGCTCACTCAGCTGGTGTCCACGTTTGGTGTTTCACAAGGTTGCGTGCTATCATCAACGCTATTTCTTCTGCATATCAATGATATGCGAAAAGGCGTTGGATCTCTTTGTGTATTTTGCCGTATCTACCACGGGAAGTGTTCACCAACACACATCGCGTCAAAATCGAGATACCATCCACACCATCTGGATAATTGGCGGCCCAACACTGTGCGATTTACCGGAAGTTTTCTTCCTCGCACAACTTCTTTGAGGAATCAACTACCGCCAGTGATGTTTTCGGACCGATACGACTTAAGGGTCCTCAAGAAAAGTACTCTTTATAAAAGGCCGACAACGCATCTGCAATTCCGCTAGTGTATAGCAGTTGTTTATTGGCAGCGGTAGTCACTTACCATCAGGTGAGCCGCATGCTCGTTTGTGCCCTCTCATATATTTTATTTTATTTAAGTGAGTACCTAAAGAAATAATTGTAACAAATGCGAATGCAACTATTCGACGCGCTCTGTTATGGCGGACTTCGGTCCTCCTCGTTATATTTAATTTCACACATATGCAAGTTTTATCACACCATGTTTTCCTTCACCTCCGAGCACGCGGTAAATTACCGCTTAAGAAACCCAAATTACTACGCCTACTGTAAAATCTACGTGCGTTGCCCTTGAGTTACATTAATATGTAACAAAATTAATTAGGTTTTTAAATAAATAATTAATATTATACAATTTAACAGGAAGTTACATTGACGTGTACCGACATATTGATAAATACTTGTATTGAATTAATCATAATGTACTATTATTACCTTTTGTTACTGATGCCCCGACTAATAAATAATTTAAGCACTTTAATGTATCATTAATATTCAATTATTCGTCTGGTTTTTTGTCCATAACTGCTTTTTGGACTTGAATGCCTGGTTAGGTCAAAAATCGGTATTCAGGATTTTACTGTTATATGCAACTCAGGAGTCAGGTAGTTGGCGGTGTTTCACCCCCGTGCTCCGGAAAGCACGTTAAGCCGATGGTCTTTTGATCTCTATCCGGTCGTATTGGATTACCGTCCCATCGGGCCTCTAGATTGAGGGATTAAGGATTTAGGGAATAAAGGTCTGTGTTGAAACTGGCTGCCGTGACCGAAATTCAGTTCTTAGACTACTAAAGTTAAAACTACTATTTATTGCATAGGCATTGAAAATCTCGACATGTATGAGTGCACCGAAAAAGCACGCTTGTGGAGTAGTAGAGTGAGTGACTTTCACACCACACGAAATCTTCGAATAAGGTAACGTGGTTTTACGTGGTATGCAGCTATATGTGGCTATGGAATGAATGGCTTTTCTCAATTGGGGTAAAATC